TGTGTGTGTGTGTGTGTGTGTGTGTGTGTGTGTGTGTGTGTGTGTGTATTAATTTAAATTTAAAGCCAGGTGTGGAGGCACACACCTTAAACCAAGCACTTGAGAGGCTGAGACAGGAGGATCACCTCCAGTTCAAGGCCAGCCTGGGTTACACAGTGAGTTTGAGGCTAGTCTGGACTACATGCTGAGTGTCTCAAAAACCAAAAACAAACATAAATTTAAGTGGCCACCTGTGGTGGTGGCACAGCCCTGAATCCAGTACACCATAGTCCTGGCCTCCATCAGGGTCTCACCTTTGCCGGGCTGGGTGGAAGAAGTGGGGCATGAACTCACTTCCGTCCTCTGGCATAGGTTGCAGGCCTTTGCCTCATTAGTCATCAGGGCTGGTATGGAGCTCGGAGAACCTGATGGGCTGCTTTCCCTGGCTTCCACAGGTGCCTCTGTCTCATCCCAGCCTTAGGTGACTACAGCACTTCCTGGGGTTACCCTTGGCCAGTAGTTGGGCACTAGCTTCACCCAACACATGCACTACCTCCCACACACACACGCTCTACCTCTTACTCCCAGGACACCTCCACATCCTACCACTCGCTCCTGTCCCTCTGACCAAGGTCATCCTTTGTCCTTCAGACACTGGGGAAGGGTCACTCCTCTTAGAAGGTGCAAACAGGAGCAAGGGCAGGCTCTGGGCCTCTGAGTGCCCTTTACCACATGGTAACTACTATTTGCTCATACTGGACAGGAAGCCCAAGGGCTTGTCTGTTCATTGGCCCACACATGAATGGAGACATGCTCCAACAAGAAAGTCTCCTAGAAGTCTCTCTGCAGGCCTTCCTGAGGCCTCGGGAGGAACTTCCTGAGGGAGCTTTCAGGCCTGGGCACCCAAGGGCTCAGGCCCTAGGCTGACTCCTACAGTGGCCCCAAAGCTCCAGGAAGCTGCCTCTCTCATTCACCAGGCAACCGATGGACAATGGCTTCTAAAGCTCCCCAGGCTGTCCAGACTCCATGTCACCTCCTGTGCCAGCCTACCGCCCCCTACACCTTCAGCCTGCTCCATGTACTTCTATTTAGCATGCCCCAGCTGCCTGAACCCACATACCCTGAGTTCAAGGCAAGGGTCCAGAAATCTAAGAACCAACAGCAGCCCCACCAGGTCCCAGCCCCCCACCCCAGGGTGCTCCTTGAACCTCATGAGGCAGGGGTCCACAGTGCGCTGAGGGCCAGTCACCATCACATCTATATATGGGGCAGAAGGAGGGCCTCGGGCTCCACCAGTGTGGCATTGCTTGTCCCACCAGCCACCTGTCAAAGTCTGCTCCTTGGTGCTGTAACAGAATACCAGAAAATTGTAACAAACAGCAATTTATTTCTTACAGTTCTGGAAGCTGAAAACCCCAAGGACAGCCCTTGTCTGGTGAGGGCCTTCTGTGTCACTCCAAGGCAAGAGGCAAAAGGACAACAGTATGTGAGAGAGAGCAGCACAAGGAGCCAACTTGCCCTCTACCAGGAACCCACTCCTGCTTGAGCTCAGAGCCCTCATAACCTAGTTGCCTCTTGAAGGCCCCACCTTGGTCCAGGATGCCTTGCTGCCCCTAGATGGCTGACGGTCAGGGTATGAATGAGGCCTTCAGCCCTGCAGCAGCTGAGCTGGGGTGACTGCAGGCCTGGCTTGTATGGGTCTCTGCCAGGCTAGCAGGGGAGCAGCAGGAAGAGGCAGGTGGTCACTCTGTGCAAACCCCAGCTATGCTTTCCACAGCAGGCTGGAAGGGAGTAAGCGCTCATCAGGAAGGTTCTTAGGGGCCCCTGCACAACAGGCCAGGTAACTAGGTAACCCTGTGAGGACCAGGAAGGGAGATCATATTTGCTCTGGAGGGCAGCACCTGCTGGATGCTTCGTGATGCTTCCTTGCCCAGCACAAGGAAGAGAATTTCTCCACCTCGCATGCAAGGACAACAAACACCACTCCCCCAGTATACTTCTGCAGGGCTGGTCACCGCAGGTTCTAGCACATGGGTGCGCTAAACACCCATGGAGACAGACTCCAACAAGGAGCCTTGAGGCCCTGAGCTGCAGTGGGGCCTTAAGCAGGTCATTGCCCTCCTGGGTGCCTCTCTTCCTCCAGACTTAGTGAATTATAATATCTGAGATGTTGCCTGTTTCTCTCTGGTCTCATGTCACAAATAAGCTGTGTGGCGTCCCTGAGGCCTGGGGGCTGTCTGTTACTCTTTCCTGCCCAGCCCAGCCTGATGGATGTGGTCTGTAGCTATTTAATCCCAAAGTGTCCAGTGCTTGAGTATGGGTGCCGGGAAGGTGTCACGCTGTGGCTGCAAAGGAACTTCCCTCAACAGGCAGTGCTACCACAGAAGATGAGTTAGGGAGTCGGGGTGGGGGTGGGGTCAACCAGAGAACATGTGGGTGGCATGGGCCAGGCATACAGGGCCACACTAGGAAGTCCAAGATCTGGATGTGGCCTGTTTCCTTATCTTTCCTAAGGCCTAACCACTAGGATAACGACTGGTACAGAGGAACGAAGGGCTACCTGTGCCCTTCCTCTTCTGAACCCTGAGCCCCAGCCCTCCCCCTTCCTACCTGCTCGGAGCTGGTGGGGAGCTGGTCCTGAAACCGGGCCTCCATTTCCCAAAGAGGATTTGGTTTAATAGCTGAAGTGGACGCATCAGGAGCAGCTGTTCTCACAGTGCATGCCTCTTTCTCCTCTGTTGGCCACTATGGGCAGCTCCCTGTACCCATCGCTCTCCTGGATGATCCCACTGGGATCCTACCTTCCCTGTCCCAGCTCCAAGCAGGATCTTCTTCTGTACTGTTGCTGGCAGATGAGATGCTGTTTGCCCCACCTTGCCCTGTTCCTCAAACTTTCCATCCTGACAAGATAAAATCTGCAGAAGATGCTGATTGCCCTCTCCTCTTTTCCCCACCTCTGATGAAAACTCTGGGAAGTTTTTACTACCCCTCACTGTTGGTGCCAGGTGCTGACAGAATTACCTGTAGCGGAGCCAGGTGTGGTGGTGCACATCTGTAATCCCAGCCTTCTGGAGGTGGAGGCAGGAGGCACACTGAGAGTTCAAGGCCAGTCTGGGCTACATAGCAAGACCTCGTCTTAAAAAATAAATAATACATATGCTGAATCTTTGGGCTGGGGATGTAGCTCAGTGGTAGAGTGTTTGGTTAATATGCACAAGTCCTGGGTTTGGGGCTGGGGATTTAGCTCAGCGGCAAAGCGCCTGCCTGGCAAGCGCAAGGTCGTGGGTTCGGTTCCCGGTACCGGAGAAAAACCAAAAAAAAAAAAAAAAAAAAAAAAAAAAAAAAAAAAAAAACAAGTCCTGGGTTTGATCCCCAGTACTACAAAAAAGGATTTCTTGGAGCAGCCCTCTGTAGATTGAGTTTCCCCTTTTATTTTTTTGGAATTTATTTTTTTGGTTTTATTTCTTGAGATGGAACTGAGGGCCTAGTGCATGCTCCCACTGAGCTACATCCCAGCCAAGAGAGTCCTTATTTAACATAGACTTTCCCCAGTTCAGAGAAGGAAGGGTGTTACTGGCACTGGACCTGACTGCTGGGCTCCAAGGTCAAGGTATTATCCCCTTTGCTGGTTTGCTGGGACAAACAGCTCTGCTGGGAGGAGCCTCAGGCATTGCCTCGCCTGCAGATCTACTCAGGTCCCTGGGGCCACCAACTCTGCCACCCCCCCCCCATTCCCTACCACCTCTGGGCTTCAAGGAACAGACACAAAAACCAGGCAGGCAGGCAGAGTACCTGGCAGCTCTGTGAATTCTGGGCATTATGAGTAAGCAAAGCAAGAAAGTCTGGGGCCATCAGAGCCACAAGGGGCTGCCAAAGCAGCAGCAAGACGGTGAAGTGATACAAACAGTGCTGACAGTAGAGAGGTGGTCTCCCTGGGACAGAGGGTAGTCACTGCTGCAGACCTGTGTCCATGTTTCAGCATGGACAGCTGCCAGGGCAGCTTCCCCTCTCCTCTATATCCATTCTCTCTCTCCCACTTCCCATGAATGGTAACACACAGTTTACCCTCTTAGCCATTTTTTTTCATCTTAGCTGTTTTAAAATGTACTATTTAATAGCACTACTTACATTCATAACGTGCAACCAGGGCTGGATGTGTGGCTTAGTGGTAGAGCACTTGCTTAGCATGAGTGAGCCCCTGGGTTCCATCCTGAGCACTGCAAAACAAACAGACAACTCCCTCTAAAATCCCACCACTAGAGATAAGAATAATGTTGTGTGTCCATCAACATCATTGCCTTCATAATTCTTTCATCTTATCAAACCGAAACTCTGACTCCCCATCCCCATCCCTCAGCCCCTGGCAACTCCCATTCTGCTTCCTGTGCCTATGAATCTAACCATTCCAGGGACCTTGCATGAATGGAGCATACAGGATGTATCATTTTGTGATTGTCTTATCTCTCTCAGCAAAATGTTCTCAAGGTTCACCCATGTTGCAGCGTGTCCTGGAATTTCTTTCCTTCTCAAGACTAAATAACAATAGCAACAAAAAAAGACTGAATACCATTCCATTGTACAGAGACACTACACTTTATCCAATCTTACACAATAACTGAAATTGGAGCTGCCATGAAAAATCTAGACATTTTAAATGTTTGGTTTCTCTAGGCCATCTCTGTGTGCTAGAGGGGTGATTCCTAGGTGTGTTAGCTTTCCATAGCTAGGACAAAATATCTGAGAACAACTCTTACAAAGCAGGGTTTATTCTAAATCATCCTTTAGAGGTTTCAGCCCATAGTTCCTGGCTGTGTTGCTTCTAGGCCTGAAGTGAGGCAGACACGAAGGCAAAGGACATGGTGGATGAAAGGCTGCTCGGCTCACGGCAGTTTGGAAACAGAGCAGGAGAGCCACAGGGGTAGGGCTGGTGACAAAATGTATCCTGTAAAGGCACATCCCAGTAACGGCCTTCTTCCAGCTGGGCCCCACATCCTAATAGCGCATTCAGAGACGGACTCATCCCCTTGATGAAGTCTGGGGCTTGTGACCTAGTCATTTCCCCAAAAGCCCATCACAGGCACAGTAAACCTGCAGGGGGCATTTGAGATCCCAAGCATAACACTCTAGGAAACCCTTGTGTCAGTATTCCCACTCCTGCAAGGGTCCTGTGGGGGATGGGAAGCACAAAGCTCTGAAGCCTGAAGCCAGGCCTTGGCCACACCAGTGAGGGGACCACTGATTCCTTTACTTCTGGGGCAGAGGTGCTGGCTGCTGGATGCCGGGTTCTGTGCTGGGATGATAAAATGTGAAATAGACTGCAGCATGGTTCGTACCTCTGTGAATCTGCAAAAAGAACACTAAGTTGCCCTTCTTTATGTGTATGTGTGGTACTTGGGAATTTAACCCACAGCCTTCACACTGAACTACAACCTCAACTCTTTTTGTTTGGTTTGAGACAGGGTCTTGCTAAGTCACTGAGTTGTGCAGGATGGGCTGGAACTTGTGAGGTCCTCCTGCCTCAGCCTTCCAAATGCTGAGTTTAAGGTGTGTGTACCACTTTGCACGACAGTTTGCTTCTCTTGCAGTCTGCCTCCCTAAAGAGCATAGGATGTTGACCAGACTGGGTGTCCACTTTCCAATGTGTCATCCAGATATAGGATCTGACCCCTGACATGGGCAGGGATCTGAGTTAAGGACATTATAATCACAAAGCATCAGGTGGGCGGGAGGGGCCTGCAGAACTGGAAGTAAAGTTGTGCACAGGAGGATCCTTGTTATGGTTTGGGTCTAGATGTCCCCCCAAAGCTTCATGCAGTTTAGACGGGGCTTTTTCAGAGGTGGCTGATGCTAGACTGTGTGACTGACTGGGCAGTGCAATGCTGGGATTAAGGGTGGGTGATTGCTGGATCAGTTCACTGATTGGATTGGCACCACCCCAATCCCCACAGACTGGATAAAATATAAGGGACAGAAAGAGGCTTGTCTTGCTCTCTGCTTGTTGCTTTTGCTGTCTTCCTCTGCCATGAACTATTGCCCCTCTGCCATGTCCTACTGATTATGGACTGAAACCTCTGCAAACTTCAAGCTAAATGAACCTTTCCACCTTTCACTTCGGGTGTCAGGTACTTTGTCTCAGCAATGAGAAAAGTAAGACAATCATGAACAAACCTATGTCCCTAAGTCCTGCCAGGCAGAGAGACAGAGACAGCAAGGAAAGCCTCCACACCCAGCCCCAGCAACAGTGGCATTAAGAGACTTGGTTTCCACTGTAGTTTGGTGTTAAGAGTAGAGGGGCTGCCTGCCCCACCCCTGCCCAGAACACACCTGGGGAGTCCTGGGTGAGTCTTGTAGGAGGGGAGGCTCAAGCCTGCGTCTTGCTGGGAGGTTCATGCCTAGAGGTGGGGCAGCTCTGAAGGCAGCGCCTGGGTCTCACCATCTTGCTTGAGCATGGCTTGGCCTCAGGACCCGCCGCCTTTCCCTGGGATATGCCCACATGAGTGATTCACAAAGCCAGTGTTTGCCAATGATGCACCAGGTGCTGGGGTGGGGGTCACCTGGGGTCAGTGTGAGCTGGGAAATTCACAAAGCTGTGCTCAGCAGAGCTGTCACATCTGCTGGCACCTGCATGGGCCTTCATTGGCATAGTAATGGGCCAGGAGGGCCTGGCAGAGGTGCCTACATTCAGCTGCTGGTGAGCAGAGCAGAGGCAGAGGGTGGCAAATGAACAGAGGGGGCTCAGCACCTTACTGCAGAAGCCAGGAGGGGAGAGAAGCTGTCATGAGCACAACCTCTGCAAGCCCTGGGGCCAAAACTGTGCTTCACAAATGGGAAACTGAGGACACAAAGGGGACTGTTATGGCTCTGGGGCAAGACACCTGAAGCATGGTGCTGGGATAAAGGGGTTGAGAATCCCAGTTCAGGCCCCTGAGTGAGTGGCCCTTAAAAAAGGCAGCAGTAGCTGGGCACCCCTGTAATCCCCAGCTACCCAGTATGCTTTTTTGTTTTTGTTGTTGTTTTATAGACAGGGTCTTGCCATGTAGTCCAGGACTCACAGGAAACTTCCTGCCTCATGAGGTGAGTGATACCACACCCTGCATCCCAGCTACTCAAGAGGCAGAGACAGGAGGGTGGCAAGCTCAAGGCCAGCCTTGCCGGGCGTGGTGGCACATGCCTGTAATCCCAGCACTTGGGAGGCTGAGGCAGGAGGATCGTTGCAAGTTAGAGGCCAGCCTGGGTTACAAAGGGAGCTCAAGGCCAACCTGAACTGCAGAGCGAGACCCTGTCTCAAAAAGACAAAAAAAAAAAAAAAAAAAATCAAGGCCAGCCTTGACAACTTAGTGAGACCCTGTGAACATTAGGAGCTCAGTATTCTCTGAATTGAATCCCCAGTACTAGGGGAGAGTGGAAGCAGCCCTGATTCTTTCCAGGGCTCTTCCAGGTGCTGCCTCCTATGGCCATGGAGGGAAACAGAAGGACTTTTGTCTCTGTGTTGGCTGGTTTTCCTGACCTTTAAGAGAACAGGCAGAGGAGACAGGTAGTAGAAGATGGGCCTGAGGGCGGTCCTCAGAGTGAGGCATTGGCCTAAGATTAGTGGCTGCTAAGGAAGAGGCTGGTCCAGCTATTTTCCAGGGAGTGGATGTCACACCCCTTCAGGTTCCAGTCTAGAAGTGGAGCCAGGCAATGTTCATTAACTGAAAAGCTCTGAGAGAATTCTGCCAACAAGGTTATTTTTACTAGTTTGGCAAAATCCCCCTTTGGTTCCTGTAAGGTCGAGTGCTCAGGAATTGCTGCCTGTCTCCCCAGCCAGATTGCCAGCTGTCTGGGGCAGGGGCTGCAGCTGGGGAGAAGGTGAGAACACTTTAAGTGGAGAGCCCAGCCCCGTGTGCCCAGCAGGGCACTCACAGGCCACTTTGCTCGCCTGCTTTCCTGGTCCACAAGCTAAGCGGGCAGTTCTGGACCTCACACTGCCCTGTGCCCTGTGACCAGGTAAACGCATCCTTGATGTCCAAATAACGCAGTGCACTGCAATAGTTGCTCCTTTCTTGCAGAGGCCAGGAGGACTGGGTAGGGCGTCCCTCTCAGTTCCTGGGTACCTGCCCTGAGGGCATCTCTGGAAGGCTCCCTGGCTTTGAGTTGGCCCACAGACCAAACTTCTTGTTTGCCCTGAGAGGAAGGCACAGCTCCAACAGCGACTAGGTAGCCATGGAGACGGTCTCCAGGTCAGTGGCACTAGGGAAAGGCAGCGTCCAGGCCTCACCCTCTGCACTCCCAGCCTTCAATACAGCCCTGCGGGAAGGCCGCGGGCTGCAGATGGCTGCAGCTCCGCGCTTGGAAACAGCAGCTCCAGGGCGGGGACGCTCCAGTGCTCTTGCACAGGGCGCCGCCGGGCGCCTTTCCCAGGTCTGCCGAGAGGAACAGCGGGCTTACCTGACCACTACGGGGGCAGACACGAAGCCCCAGCGTGACCACTGGGAGCCTGAACGCTGGAAGGGGCCAGACGGCGGGCCGGAGGTCCAAAGCCGGGAACAGCTGGGGATCTGCTCGCGCTGATTTGCGTGGTGCGCAGGCGCCTGCTCGGAAGACGCCCGGAACTCCAGGCCCCGCCTCCGAGCGCCGCGGCCCCTCCCCGTCGGGTTGCTAGGGGAAGTGACGTCACAGCGCGATGGCGGCGGCTCCTTTAGACAGCAGAAGGGGGATTTAGGCCCGGAAGATCCGAGTCCATCCGCGGCGGGGAGAGGACGAGCGGCGTTGGCAGGGACCGGAGCAGCGGCGGCGGCTCTCGGACTGTCCCATCCGTCCCTTATTGAGGCTCTGGGAGTGGCGGGGCGGCCTGAAAGCAATGGTGAAAGCGGGGCCGTGAGGGGGGCGGAGCCGGACCGGACCCGCAGTCGCGGCTGAAGCGGCGCCGCCTCCGGGAGCGCAGACCCAGGAAGCGGCCGGGCGGGCAGCAGCAAGCGGCGCGTCGCCATGGAGCTGAGGGTCGGGAACAGATACCGGCTGGGCCGTAAGATCGGGAGCGGCTCCTTCGGAGACATCTATCTCGGTGAGGCCAGGCGGGCTCCGTGGGGGTGCATTGCGGGGCCGCGCTCGGGGCCCTGGAGCCCGGACTGCCGGCAACGGCCGCTCCGGGAGCGCGGCGGGGGTTGCGGGGGTCTGCGGGCCCCGGAGATGGTTGGGGTGCAGTGGGGCGGCGGACCTGGCCGGGGGAGGACCCGTGGTGGAGTGGTGGAGGGGCGGCAGGCCCGGTGAAATGGGGCAGTGGCCTGGGGGCTGCGGGCCTGGAGGAGGGGAGGGCCTGGGCCTCGGGGCCGGGCGTCGGCTTCCAACCGCGCCTGAGGTCACCGCGGTAAACAAAGGCCATGCTGCTCTCCAGGACTGGGTCTGGCACTGCCGGCTCCCTCCCTCCTGCTGACCCTGCTTGTTACACACGTGGGGGGGAAATGTCAAAGCAACCTGAATGCTGTGAAGGTGGGGAGTGTCCCGATCAGAAACGGGGAAACGCTGGGCTGCGTCCTCGGGGCCCCTCGCGACCGGCTGCTCCTGCCCTTTCTGCCAGTGGCAGCTCTGGTTAACTGACCCCCTAGAAGGGCCTGATGCCTCTCTCGGGTATCTTCCTTGGCCTGAACAGAGAGATTGAAAGTGTTCGTTTGAGCTAGAAGCTGTAGCTGGCCCTGGTGGTCTGTCTGTCCAGAGGCCCTTGGCCTTGGAGTTGTCATTGAGTACGTTTTGAGCAACCAAGTTGAATACTTGGTACTGGGTACAAACAAGAATTAAATTTACATGAATGCAGACAAAGTGTTAAGATGCTGGCAAAATTGGAAGCACGGGAAGTGGGAAGGACTCATGAGCTGTGGTATTAAAATGTTAAAGGTAGATTTGAAATGTACTTAGGGTGAAAATGTCCTGGGTTGTGTTAGATTTGCAGTGAGAGGATACACAATGTAATAAAGGGTTGATTTAAGCCATCTAGCTGGGAATTTTAAAGTAAATCTAATTGCATAAGTTGTTCTCCGGAACTTGCCTCCTGGCAGTGCTGTGTCTGCGGAGATTGTGGCCGAAGTTTAGGGTTAAACATGTTCTGTCGTGGAACGACCTAGCCTCAGTCTTTGTTTGGCTGCCACACCTGTCAGGGAGGGTCAGGAGTCCCACCCCCTCCCTTCCAGGACCTGAAGGGCTGACAAAGTTAGGATTAATCTGCTCCAGGGAATAGCTCTTCACTACTTTTGGTGACTGGTTAACCCACAGGATAACCCCATCACGTGCTCTGTGATGGATTTGAACCTGTACTTCTGTAAAGGCTTGCTGAGTAAAATATGCTTGGGAGACATTTGGGTTTCACTCTTTAAATATTTATAACCAAGTAGTCAGCCAGATGCCTTCTCGGCAGTGTTTTGGGAGTCAGAATGCTGGATAAATGGAAGCTGTTTGGCTTATTTATAGAATAGGTTTTGGCAAAAGTTATAACCTCAGAATCTTGGCACTATACTGAGGAGTCACTCCATTAGCCACCCTTTCACAGGCATCAGAAAGTATGTATTTTGAAACTTTTTGTTCTCTAAGGCCTTGCCAAACATTTTTGTGCTTTGTGGAAGTTGATCCTGACAGTCCAGTTGTGGGATGGTCACCACACATTGTTTGGAGGTATAAGCACTTCTTATAGAGAGTGCAGGCTTAATGGGGGAGTGTTGCTTACTCAGGGTTGTGTCCTTTGGGCCTCTCACCTCTTGTCACACGCATGGCCACTTGATCAGTTGACTAAGCTCTTGCAGAGAGATCTATTCTAGAATGGGAAAATGGGATTGTTGTGTCTCTGAGGTCCTGGGGTTAAAGTGCCCAGATGCCCTGTTTGTTGGCATATGCTTCTACTTAGTTCCACAGGGGTGGGTATCAGCAGTCTTTTCCCATTGGCATTAGTTTTTTAGCCCACGTTGGCATCCTTTCAAGCCAACCCCCTAAGGAACTGAACCTAAAATGGCTGTGTTATCTTGCATAAGACAGGCTGGAAAGGCAGGTCCAAGGAAGGTTGTAGTCCAGAGTCAAAGAGCACTGATTTGAAGACCGTAGGACCGATTAACTCAAATATGCTCTTAGTTTTCTACCACCAGTTGAACCTGAGTTGAGGATTTGTGTCCTCTCTCAAAACCTATGTCTTATGTATTTTAGTGAGAGTGTAAACTGAAACTTTTTCCTGTTGTCACTTTGATAATTCTCAGAAGCACTCCACTCCAGTTTTGTTTTGAGCCTGGCACCAGGAGGGTTTGGCTTTCCACCTAGGACCTTTCTGTTTTTCCAGGTGTTTGAAACTGGGAGGAGGGCAAGAGTGTCGAGAAGGCCACACCTGGTCTTGGGCTGCTTTCCCTGGAGCCTGCTGTCCTGACAGTCAGGACCACAGTAGGGGGTGCCCTGCCAGGTTTTCCTTCACATCTTTCCCCAAATTGCCCCTCAGTGCATCAATAAATACAGCATTATGGAGCTATTTCTGGAATTTCTGGGCTTGAGAAATTATATGCACTGGACTTGGCTGCTAATGAGACCTAAAAAGTCCAATCTCAGTCCTCAGTCTAAGCAGCCAGATGTGGAAGGTTCTTCTGGGCCAGGCTGGAAAGCCCCAGAGCCCACACCCTTGTGGAGACCACATCCAGGCGGGATAGGTTGTATTGCAGGTAGGTTTAAGGCAGCCTCTCAGCTCTGTGCCTTTTTCTGTGTCAGCCCATTGCTCTGTGGGTGATATGGTGTCTTGAGGTAGTAGAAACCAAAAGTCCTTTACTTTTGTTGGCAGTGTGCCATTTATAAACTTGATAACATTTGTAAACACTGGCAGTGCTCTTGAATTTAAGGGAGGAAGAGCTGTTTGGGGTGGGTCAGGCTGAGGTTGGGATGGTAGTGGTGGTCGAGGAGGAGGAGGAGGAGGAGGAGTAAGCAGATCACTGCTCTGTTGGCCAGTATGCAGAGTGACTACAAATTGCCAAGATGGCAAAGCACGTGGGTTTATGCTCCATTCTTGTCTTTGTCTTTTGGAAGCAAGCGATAGGATTGGGTGGAGACCAGTTTCTTCTTGCTTGCAGTAGGCATTTCTCCTTCGCTTGTCACTCTTACCAGCTTCTCAGAGCCTTGTCTACCCTTACCTGAATGGACAGTACAGTTAGGCTTCATGATGTGCACAAGTGTCTGGGGAGCCAAGCCATAGGCTCTTCATTTCTGGTTTGTTGTGTTTTTCTGCATTCCCCTGATTTCTCTGGAAATCCTATGCAAGGGGTCTAGCACACCACAGAACCCCCAGAACGTTGGCCGGCCGGGAGGGCAGAGGGCATGCTTCCTCTCACCAAAGCTTCCAGACCCTTCCTCTTTTACCTTGGGGCTGGATTTTGCTTGAGTGTTCTCTCCCACCCACTTTTTTTATTCATTGTACTGGGGATGGACCCTCCAGCCTGGCCAGTGCTAGGCAAGCATACTATCACTGAGCTATGTCCTTAGCCCACTTAGATATTTTTAATGAGAAGTCATGACACTGCTCAGCAAAGTTCAAATATAAACTTTGCCCTGCTGTTCTAAGGCGGCACCCTATCTCTCTGTTGACAGTACTTAGTGGGAATAACCAGTTTCCAGCTTGGTAATTCAGAGTCCCCTTTCTGTCCCAGGACAAGCTCATGCTCTGGGTTAGGGTCAGATAATTCACCAGCTGCTTTTATCTGCTCAATTTGAGGACCATCATTTTGGCTTCCTGAGACTAGCATTACCCTTTGTCTAAATACAAACTGACATCTGTGCCTAGTAAATGAACCCTGTCTTAGGCCAGACCAGAGTAGTTGATGCATGAAAGAACTGAAGGTCTGGTGTGGTAAGTGTCCTTAGTATAGTCCGACTACCTGAATAAACTTCCACCTGTCACTTGGTTTTGACTTGTTCTGAATTGGGAACCTAGAGCTTTATGGAATCTTTCATACAGGTTCTTGTGTCTCTTCTAGTAGTTCTCAAACTTACCTGTGGTAAAGAACTTACTTGTCTTTTAGTTTTTGAGACAGGGTCTCACTATGTAGTGCAGGCTGGCCTTGAACTTGCTTATGTATCTTAGGCTTGCCTTCAACGCGTGGTAATCCTCCCTCAGCCTCTCAGTATTGGGATTATAGGCATGCCCCGTCACACCTAGCTAAAAATCTATTTTTATAAGTTCTAATCTGTGGCAGACCACAACTTTTTAAAAAACAAACATGTTGTAGCAATACCATCAGAGTTCTTGGTGCTTCCTGGTCCTGTATTTGCTCCCTTATCAGTAGTGGTAGATGTACAAGGACTGGATTTTGAACAGCATTGTTAATGAGGGTTGAGGGATGCTGCCAACCTAGGAGGGGGGCAGGACCGCAGGACACTGGAGACAGTGGGATGCATAGAACTTGTAGTTCTGCTGCTGGGTTCTTCTACCCCAGCGGGTGCTGAAGTCCTGGAGGAGACCCAGAGTGTGTGCTGTCCTCACATGTGTGCAGAGCCTCTGTCCAGCTGTTCCTTCTTTGCAGCTGATCATCAGTGGCCCTGCAGGAGCACTGGCTCTGTTTGCTGATAACACACTGCCTTTCCCCCGGGAGAGAATATAATTCATACTGTGTTGCAGAGTTGCCAGTGGTGATTTCTCCCCAAGACTGTCAGCATTGCAGGGGTGACCATCCCACGTGAACTTTATTAGTCACAGTGTAGTGTCTTTGGCCTTTTGCAGCTAGAGGTGTCTTTGGCCTTTCTGAAGATCCTGGACCAGTAGACTCACTGGCCTGAGGCTGTCCTGTCACTGTGGACCTACCCCACTGGGGAAGGTGGTGGTGGTGTCCCCAGTGGTAGTGCTGCTTTGGAGTGCAAGGAGTTGCTGATGTAACCAGGGAGATGAGTCACTGTCCCTCCCTGCTGGCAAGTTCAGCTCAGAGTCCAGGCCGTAGAGGAACTCGAGGTCATTTTTCATCTGCACAGTACATTTTAGATGAAGTCATTTCTCTTATAATTGAGTAGGAAACAAGGAAACAAGGAAAAGATAGATTGCCTGCCTGCCTTTCTTTTCTTTTTTCTTTTCTTTTCTTTTCTCTTCTCTTCTCTTCTCTCTTTTTTCCCCCTCTCCTTCCCTCCCCTCCCCTCCCCTCTCCTCTCCTCCATCTGTCTGTCTTTGTCTTTTTTGAGACAGGGTCTCACTATACAGTTCAGGCTGCCCTTGAACTCACAGCAGTTCTCCTGCCTCGGTCTCCTGTGAGCTGGGGTTACAGGTGAGTCCTAGGATTACAGGCACTTGCTGGGATTACAGGCAGTGCTGGGATTACAGGCATGCACAGCTGCAAGTCTCACTTACCCTTCCTTGCCCTCCCTCTTCCTTCCTTCCTCTTTCTCCCTCTCTCTTTTTCCTCTCCTCCTCTCCCCTCCCCTTTCTACCTAAAGAGTCATACTTCTTAAATGGTCACCTGCAGTGGTGAGATACAGTTATTCCTACGGATCTGCAGTACCGGTAGTGGGCTCCAGGCCCAGGCTTGTGGTGTAGCTGTCTCAGTAGGCTGAAAGGACCACCTCTGTGGAGTGTTCTCTGCATGGTAGCAGAAGTCAGGTTGTCCTGGTGCTTGCTTAGCCTTGCCCTGCCTTTCACCTGGGACTGAAAGTGCTGTGTAACTGTGAACTCTTTCACCTCCTCAGCTCCCTATGATATGGATGGCAAAAAACCACCCCCCATCTCAGTTGACAAGAAACCGAGTTGCCAAAGAATGGCTAGCCAGCCCCGCCCCACCAAAGTCTGTCAGGCAATGGGAGCCTGTGTTAATTCCTTGGCAAATAACCACACTCTTGGGAAGGATAAAAGTGTTTTCTGCGTAGAAGGACTCTGAGGGGAAAGGAGGGCTAAGTGTGTGTGTTAGGCACTTATCTCATTGCTGAGATAAAATTCCCAGCACTCACAAGTTAAGGGAGGAAAGACTTATTTAGTTCCAGTTTGTAGAGGTTTCAGTCCCTAATCAGCTGCCTCCAAAGGAAAGTGGTATGGCAGACAGGCATCACAGAGGAAAAATAGTTCGTAGTGGGCATAAGGTCGCCAAGCAAGCAAGGGACCTTCACAGTTTTTTTTCTGCCCCTTGTATATTTTATCTAGGCTACTGGGATTAGGGCAGTACCAAACCAATCAGTGGACTGATTTAGTAATCACCCTTAACCCTAGCATGTCTTGCACCATGACTTAATCACCCACTCTAGATTCAGCCACCTCTGAAAAAGCCCCACCTATGACCACATGAAACTTCAGGGGGACATCTAGACACAAGCCGTAACAGTGTGAGACTTAGTTTCTATTGTCAGAGATTTGGATATATTCTGTAATGAAGGAGGGTGGGTCCAGGCAGGGCTTTGGGTTAGACAAGGACTCAGGAACTTAGATGTGTGATCCTAGAGGAGAAGTCTTTGTTGGGCCTGCAGGTTCTTACTGAAAAAAGCAGATATACAACATTTTCACATAAAAATGACACATGTTTGTGTAATCTTGCCTCCAAACTTAATAGGGTGGTGATTGCTGTATCAGCCACAAACTAACAAGTGTGTCCCCAATGTGTGTTTTAAGGTGGTACCATTGGAACTTGGGGAACAAGTCCCTTCTTCTCATATAGTGTCCTCAGGAAGGGAAAGGGACATCCCTGGGCCTGGTTGAGGGTCTTTGTAGTCCTTTAGCCAAGATGGCCCCTATGGCTGTGTGGAAACTGAATTCACTTGAGAACTGCCCAGCTGTTGAGAGTTGTGACTGGTGGGTGCTGTGCCTGGCTGGGCTGAGGCTTGGGGGAGGGGCGAGTGATGAAAACACAGCCCTCCTTGGAGAGGGAGATTTGGGCATATCCTGAGTGCCTATCAAGGCAGCATGGAGAACACCCTAGAACTCTCTCGATATCCCTTTGGTACATGACTGCAGAGCCCAGCTGACAGGTCTGATAGCAAGGTTCACATCAGAAGGGACAGGCGCTGCAGCTCTGGTGACTAACTGGAGTAGGTACGGATGGAAGTGAATGGTGGGATACCAGATAGACTTTGCTATAGTGTTCAAATAGGATGGTTTTCCACAGAGTGTCACCTGATGGTATTAACTCAGAAAGTAGACAGAATCTATTATTTGGTCCATCTTACAAAACTCAGACAGTGTTCATCATTTCTGCAGTGACCTGTCATGTTGGGCTGTGTGATCTGTACCAGATAATTAATGGTCTTCGTTCTTTGCCAAGGCACGGACATTGCTGCAGGAGAAGAAGTTGCCATCAAGCTTGAATGTGTCAAGACCAAACACCCTCAGCTCCACATCGAGAGCAAAATCTACAAAATGATGCAGGGAGGAGGTATGTCCTTTACCTGTTGAAATGTGTCACAAATCACAAAATATAGTTTGTCTTAGGGAAAGAGGGGAAGATACTGGCACACACCTATGATCAGTTGTTGTTGCTTTTATTCAGAGACTGGCTTAGATACAGAAGCTTTGTCAAACAAAAATGTGATTTTAGGTTTTCCATACAAATACTCCTTTACTTAGCTTCCCATTAGTTCATAATGTCTTTGAAATCCAGGGTTTGTATGAATTGTAAAGTAAGCAACTGCTATTGATAACAGCATATCTCACCAGTGTGATGCTGTGTCACCATGTGGGGCCTTTCTGAATGTGGCCCTGCGGGGTCATATGCTTTGCTTACACTTTTGAGGTAGTCCCTTCAGACTCCTCTCTTGGTCCAGTTTCCTCTTGGATAAAACAATACTTTTGAATGTGATGACTTCTATGACCCCCTTCTAGCAAAGTCACTTGCAATTCTGTGAAACCTGGCCTTGGGGCCATGGAAGCTAGTTGGGGGCCAGATGTGGAACCAGTTTCTCTTTTAGAGTTCTCTGGAATGTAAGATAGCTTGGGTGATAGAGCAGGAGGGAATTTAACTTGGGAAATTCAGAGTCATGAGACATAGCAACACTGAAGGACGGGGCTGAGCGTGGGTCCTTCTTAAGGTCTGTCCTCAGTGTGGCACCCACCTAGGAACAGGGTTGGTGTCTGAAGGATGCTATGTCCCCACTCTTGCAGACCCCTCTGTCAGGAATCCCTTCTGCACTGCTATTATTGGCCCTCATTCAGTAGGAAAGGGGAGCTCTTGGTTTGACTTTTAAAGTCCTTGCCTCAGTGAAAGCTAACCTGTGCTTACTGAGCTATTGCTAGAAACAACATTCCTCTAATGAAGTATCCTTGCAGCAGATAACATCTTAGAGGAGCACAAACAGCTCCCTCATAGAGATGCCTGTGCCCCAGAGTACCTGTGCCTTCCAGTGCCTGCGCTCTGGTAACTTAGAAGGAGGAGCTTTCGGGGGCAATAGGGAATATCTGCATAACTTTAAGTTTACAACAGAATAGAATGAGATAAGGTAGGATTTACCTTTACCAGAAGTGACTTTAAACCTACAAACTTAAACATGTTAAGGAGCACCATCTCTTTGAAGACTGGCAAGCTGGGGTCTCTGCAAGGAATAGGAAGAAAAACAGTCCCTAAGAGCCTGGGATAGGTCTGGTGAAACTTCTGGCCGTAGCTGGACAGGAGTTCATTTGGTGTGGAACAGGGCTCAGGCCTGGCCCTATTGCTGTTTGCTCTGTGCCGCAGGATGCCATGCAGTCTCTAGGTGCCTGTTGCCCCTCAGTTGTGACAATCTGAAAAGTTCTAGGGTATCGTGTGCCCCTGGCAGGAAGCACTGCTTCGTCGTTTGGACCTCTCGTATAGATAGAAGAATTGCTTGTTCCCTTTTTCTTACCCATATCTCTTCTCCAGATCATGGAATCCAAATGAGATCCCAGAAATGGGCTTTCTCCTGCTTGGGCCTTTGCATACCATTTCCCAGGCATGGTCTGGGTTGTACTCTCGTTACATATATTGCAGATACCCTGAAGATCTGTGTTCTGGAAAACATTTTATGTCCAAAGTAGGTAATTCTGGCATTCAAAGCAAGACCAAATTGGAGGCCAGCAGATACAGGATCAGGGAGTCTGCTTTGCCTGGAAACCACTAGATTTTGCTGTTGCTCATGCAGTGTCTCCCATGTGTAACTTCTGTTATTTTCTGAAAGTGACAGTGAGTACCTCTGATGCTGGTGGGGTTCTCATCTGCTTGTGTTGGTTGGCTCAGTCTGCACTGGAGGAGAGACTGCAGGGCTGAGTGTCTACAACCCATTCCTTGGAGCTTGTAGCACAGAATTCATCTAGGACTGCTGGAGCTGTGGCATAACAGGGCCAGGTGAGAGCTGCTGCGCTTGGTGGTCACAGCTGCGTAGGGTGGAGAAGGCTTTCAGGAAACATGCTGTTATCACTCTGCAGCATCCCTGTGCAGTGGGCACTGGGGTCTTCACCTCAGGCTGTAAATGAGGGAACAAGCTCAGATGGCTCTGTGGTTTTCCAAACGATAAAGACTAGAGTTTGAGCACCCTCAGGCTGTGCCCGGGAAATTCCACTTATCCAGACTGTGGGAACCATTGGTTAAAAACATGAAACAGCACAAATAAACTAAATTTGGTGGGTGAAAGACTTGGATGGACAGTGTTCTTATCAGCAGTGTGACTGCCAGGTAAAACCTAGAGGCTGTTATATAGGTGTTCTTTCCAATCCTAACATGTCTAAAACACAGATTCAGAGCATTTGTTGCTTGTTTGACACTAAAGAACTTGATGTCATATGGAGAGGAGAGAGTAAGGTCTTTGTATAAAATCCAGGTGACCAGGCTGAAGGATTTTTTTTACCCTGGTCACCATAATCTCTGTCAGGAGGACACCGGGTATAAGAGTAGATGCATTGACCCTTTCCTCCCTCAAGAAAGACCTAGCTTCCTGTGGAGCCCAGGCACCTGCCCAGCCCCTAGTCTATTTGCCCTCCCTACTTGCCCAATTCTCTTTTCCAGGGCTGGGTTGGTGGTTCCAGGGGAGTTGGTTGTTCTTGCTTTTGTTTCTCAGTGCTGGGGACTGAACCCAGGGGCTTACACATGCTAGGCAAGTGATGTACCACCCACAGCCCTGTTTTTCAATTTTTGTTTCTGTTATCTCACAACTAATTTATGTTTTTCAGAATCTCAATAGTGTCTGAAATATTTGACAGTTCTATTTTTAATTAACGGCTGAAAATTTCATGAAAATTTGTAATTGTATTAATGCCAAATCCCCACATTTGTACTGACACTTTTCGCAAGTCACAATGGAAAGCATTTGCCAGTACCTCACTCTCCCCTGGGGTTTTCATCCCAGGAGGTGCTGAGGTATCTTGGGCCCCATGAGGGGAAGCATCTTTGTTCATACCTGCAGGTGGTAGTGGCAGTGGCCACTGGGAACAGTGCAGCACTGTTTGGCTCTCTACTAACGTGCTAGCCTGGTCTGTTATTGAGGAACCATCAGAAGCAGCACTTTCCAGGCACAGATCTGTTTCATATTCTGAGTTTTGCTTGTATAAAGTGTCTGCTTCACAGAGTAACTGTTATCAGCCTGTAGCTGAGGCGTTCTTTACCCTGGTCACAGGGCACATTCTCTCGAGTGGCTTTAGAAGAGCCTTTTGCCACCTGCTTCACTATTTTGGTTTGTTACAGTCTGCTGAGGTTGAAGCACATCCAGAGAAAGCAGTGTATCTTTCCTGGCCAGGAAACTGAGAAGAAAGGCCTTTTTGCTCTTACTGTAGTCTATCTACCAGCCTTGACCACCACCCCCATGGGATATAACACTGTTACCATAGTAAACACAAAAGAAACCAGAGTTTAACTAGGTTAAGATCAGATATAGTGTATTCATTTCATTACACCAACGATAATTTTTTTTTCCTTTTTTTTTCTTTTTGAGACAGGGTCTCCGCTATGCAGTTCAGGCTGACCTTGGACTCACTTTGTAGCCCAGGCTGGTCTCAGACTCGCAACGATCTTCCTGTGTCAGCCTCCTCAGTGCTGGGATTACAGGCATGCGCCACCATGCCCAGCAACAATAATGATTTATAAAGTACAATTTTAAAAATACAAGAGACCCAGGAGGTACCTAGGAATAAATCTTAAAATGCAAAAGAACTATATGCAGAACATAAACAGGCTTTATTGGAGGGCATGTGGAAATTGCCTGTGTTCATCGAAAGGAAAACCAAGATGTCACTTCTCCCAGAGTTGCTGTTAACTTATGTGACAAGATAAAGACCAAAGGCCCAAGAGTAATTTCCACACTCCCAAAGGAGAGGGACATTTGCCTTGCAAATACCAAACCTATACAGAGCTGTCGAGGTTAAAGTGGGTGGCTCTGCATACAAGGCCTAGGAGCAGTGACGTGCCAGGTCTTTAAGTGGTTTCTGAGTACCTGTCTCTGCTGAGAGGCTTCTTGAAGAAGTAGCCAGTTCCAGGGGTGGGCCAGGAATTTCTGGAACATGTGGCTGGAAAGAAAATACAGGCCCCTATTGGGGGTACAAGCGAAGCTCCAAAACATGTCTGTTGGCCAGCTTTGGGCAGTTGAAACTTCAGAATGAGTAATGATTGGAAATTGATTGTGACACACTGGTGTTGGGGGAGTGGGTGAGTCTGCAGTTCCACTTGTATATGTGGAAAGAAACACTGCTCGGAAGATGGCAGCCGAGAGGCCATTGCTCCCAGTGCCCCTTATGCCTTGTTGCAGGTCCAGACTCTACGTAGCTGTGTTCCCTCTTCGCCGTACCCATCCAGGCTGCTGGAGATGGAACGCCACCCATAGGCAGGGGCAGCCTGGCTGTACCGTGCTGGTGATTTCCTTTATGGTTTCATGCTTCACGGAGCTGAGGCTGTGGGTTCATTTGGTCTTGTTTAGTCCTGCTCCCCTTCCCTTTTTTATATCTCTCATTCCTTTAACTTTCATGACGTTGGATGAACTTATACTTCTATTGTAATTTTTTAGTTTTTTTTGTTTTTGATACACTGTGTAATTCAGACTGGCTTTGATTTTACTATGGAGCCCAGACTGGCCTTGATCTCACAGTGGTCCTGCTTCAGCATGCGCCACCACACCCAGTTACTAGAATTTTTTTAATACCCTTCTCTTCGGTTCTAACATCTGTGTTAATTTTGACTGATTTCTCACTGAAATCACAGTTTCTTTGCAAGCTTTGTAATCTCTGGATGCTAGGCATTGAGAATTTTATGCTCCTGTTTGTTGGGTTTGTATCTTTCAGCTCCTTCCTCAGCTATGTTCTAGCATGAAGTCGTTACATTGGTCTAGTTGGTTCTTGTGTTTGTGATGACACCCAGGCACAAGCTGGGGTACTAGGGAGTGGTTTAGCTCTCAGGCAGAGTGTCCTCTGCCTAAGGTCCAGTGCCTTAGAAACCATCTTTCCAAAGCTGAGCATTATGGACACCTGTGATCCCAGCTACTCAGAAGGCTGAGACAGGAGGACTGCAAGTTCGAGCCCAGCCTTGGGTAACTTAGCAAAACCCTGTCTTAAAAAATAAGAGGGCTGGGGATGTAGTTCAGTGACAAGACCCTGGTTCAATCCCAAGTACTACCCAAAAAAGTTTTTAAGGGAGCTAGGGGTATAGCCCCATGGTAGGACATGTGCCTAACATGAGTGAGGCCCTCAGTGTGATCCCCAGTATCAGGGCTCAGGAGCGGCCTTCCATGTTTCATTTGTTGTTTGTGTGTTTTTTGGTTTTTGAGGTTTTTCGGTACTGAGAATCAAACTTAGGGCCTCACATTTGCGAGGCAGGCACCGTGTCACTGAGGTATATCCCAGCCCTGTTTGTTTTTCCTTTGTTAATTTCAAGTGTGAGGATAGTTTGTCACTCTGTTTCTGCTGGAAGTAAAAGTGACTTCTATACTTTTATAGGAAAATGCTCTTCTTTCTCCAAGGTCAGAAAGGATTTGTTAATACAAGATACTAAGAAAGTATTTGCCTATCATAAAACCAACCATCATTCAGTATCCAGAATTTGTAAAGAACTCTACTATAAATAGGAAAAATAATACCCTGACAAAAAATTAACAAAACAGAGCAAATCATTTGGGACTCCTTCTGTTTCTCAGGAGCTGTTCCTATGCCCCATTCCTTTTCTCCAATAAATTTTCCTACTCTTAAAATTAGCAGAAGAATATACATAGGCATTTCAAAGATGAAATAGGTGTGGCCTCAGTTTACATGTAGAGGGATGTAGACTGAGGTCAGTGCTGTTCAGTGTCAACAGGTACTTCTGCTACAGGCCACCTTGTCTTTTTGTCCATCTTAGAAACAGTTTGATTTTTATCTTGTATATCTTTTGTAGTTGAATAATTTATATTCTAAGACCTCGATCAAACAGGAACTATCACAAAGAATCAACAACTGCGATCTTATCTTATTAAAAAGCTTTTGCGCAGCAAGAGGAACCATCAACAGAGTGAAGAGACAACCCACAATGTGGGAAAAATGT